GTAAAATTTAAGACATTTCTAATACAAACTTATCTAACTAGGAGTGATAAAAGAATTCTGTTAACATGATAAAGAGTATCCTATAAACGTCAGTATAAACTTAAGAAAATGTTCCCCTGCACAGCCAGCGTGGCTCAGTGGTTGAGCATCAACCTATGAACCAGGAGGTCGCAGTTCAATCCTGGTGAAGGCAGATGCCTAGGTTGAGGGCTTGATCCCCAGGAGGCAGCCAACCAGTGATTCTCTCCCATCAATGATGTTTTTATCTCTCTCTCCCTCTTCCTTCCTCTCTGAAATCAATAAAAACATATTTTTAAAAAATAAGAAAATGTCCCCCTTTAAATCAGAAACAAGACCAAGATGCCAATCTCATAACTAGTGTTCCGCATTTTATTGAAGATTCTATCCAGGCCAAAAGGAAAAGAAAAAGAATGAAAAACATGATGACTAGAAAGGAAATCAAACTTGTTATTGATTGCTTATATAGAAAATGTAAGAATTCCAAACAATAAAACTTACTAAGAGAATTCAGCAAAATTATAGATTACAGGATTAGTATACAAAAGACTAATAATATATACCAATTTCAGAATAGTGGTTATGTCTGTGGAGGTAAAGAGTGTACAGGTAAGGTAAAGCTTTAGTTGCATCTGTAAGATTCCCCCCCACTTTTTTTTTTTTTTAAAAAAAAGGCGATGTAAATTAAATATAGCAAAATGTTAAAATCTTGGGGTATTGTTTAATTTTCTGATATTTTCTGTTTGAAATAATTCAAATGAAAAGATTTCAAAATATTATAGAAGTCCCATAATTGTTAAATTGTTAAGCTCTTGAAATGTATTTCATAGAAAGATTTAAAAATGAGTGCTTAACAACTAAATTAGTATATAGCATGGAAAAGCAGGACAGGTGAGATACAACTGATAAGACAAAATAGGAAAGAATGGTCACATTGAAATAGAGAATTCAGAAGGAGCTGTGGGTTTTGGAGGAGATGATACATTCGGCTGAGGGTTATGAAAATTCATACTTCCGTTCTTTTGGGTTATCCTAATGGAGACATCAAGAAAGCAACTAGAAGTGCACATCTGCCCAGGAGGCAGGTCACAGGCTTCAAAGTCACCGTTATGGCCAGCGGTGTCACAGGGCTGGAGGAGGTGCTCACTACAGCGTGTTGTGCTCTGGATCCGGCCCCCCTCTTCTGGTCTCAGTGCCTGGTAGCTAACACTCCGTAGAATCTAAGTAGTAAATCTAGGCCCCAATGCAAAGGCTAACGTAGGCTTACTCCCAAGAACAACAAAAAGAGTCTGTCCCCACGCCCCCCATCATACATAGGTATGTAACTTTATCTTTTTAAAAAATATATATATATATATTATTGATTTTTTACAGAGAGGAAAGGAGAGGGATAGAGAGTCAGAAACATCGATGAGAGAGAAACATCGACCAGCCGCCTCCTGCACACCTCCTACTGGGGATGTGCCCGCAACCAAGGTACATGCCCTTGACCGGAATCGAACCTGGGACCTTTCAGTCCGCAGGCCGATGTTCTATCCACTGAGCCAAACCGGTTACGGTTGTAACTTTATCTCCAAGTAGCATTTTTTTTTCTTGATAGCTTAGGTACAGTTTATTGGTTTTCTTGCAGAACATATTTTTTTAAAATTTAAAAATCCCAACAACTATAAACATTCTTTGGAAAACTTAAGCATAGTATAAAAAAATAAATGCAATATTTTTCTGCTTCTAACAATGTTAGAACAAAATAAAATACTCTTGGGGTTAAAAAAAAAAGTACTCATGTAGTAATACTTTATAATTCTCTTAGCAAATTTATGGATTTAAAATTTTTTTATTTTAATGAATTTAAAGCAGTAATGGCATTGCTAAAGATTGTGTTAGATTACTTGAAATTTTATTTTGCCATCTTCTGTGTATTTCTCACACTAGGATTTTCCTCAATTTGAAGTATCGATGCAGAAATAAGAAAGCAAAACATGTCAAACACTACACTTGGCTCTTGAGATTAGGGAACAATCTTTTTTTTTTTTTTTAAAAAAGATATTTTTACTGATTTCAGATAGGAAGGGAGAGGGAAATGGTAAACCATTTCTCACCTATCATATGGACAAACATCCAAAAGTTGAACATAGGCAAATTGCTGATAGAAGTACAAAAAACAAACTTTATGGATGGCAATTTGGCAATATATACAAAATTTACATTGTATTTACCCTGTGTATTAATTTCTTATGGCTGCCGTAACAATTTACCACAAACTTAGTGGCTTAAAACAACACAAGTTTATCTTAGAGTTTGGAGGTCAGATGTCTAAAATTGTTCTATTAGGGCTGCATTCCTTCTGGAGGTATCTGCTTCCTGTCCTTTCCCATTTACATTCCTTGCCTCATGGGCTCTTCTGTCTTCAAAGGCAGTAGTATAGGATCTTCGGTGCTGTCTGACCTGATTCTCTCTTATAAGGACACCTGCGATTACATCCAACTCACCCAGATATCCCAGGGTGCAAATAAGAAGGTCCTTAACTTAATCAGATTGTATACATATGGCAACATATTCACAGGTTCCTGGGATTAGGATGTCCATATCTTTGAAGGGCCTTATGTCTACCACACCTTTTGATCTAGCTTTTCTACTCCTAGGAATCTATCCTCCAGAGACATCTGCATATATAAGGATATCATTGCTTATAATAGCCAACGATTGGGAACAATGTGTCTGGTAATAGGTGACTGGTTTAATCAAAATGGTATATCCACAAAATACAATATAATGCAGCTGTAAAAGAGAATGAAGAAGATATCGATATACTGACATATAGAGAGATCTCTACGATATATTAAAAAGTGAAAGAAGCAAAGAGCTGAAAAGTTTATATGTTATGCTGCCTTTAAGTATAAATGGAGAAATGTATTTTGCTTGTGTTGCATAAAGAAATTCTGGATTGATGAAAAATGAATAAAAATGGTTAATTGCACTGATAAGAAGAACTGAAGAGGTAGCGAGGCCCTCTCACTGAATACATTTTTCTATTATTTTGATTTATGAGTCATGAAAATGTATTACTGCATTTTTCCACATATAAGACTTTTCCAGGAGAAACTAAGATGGTGGCATAGATAAACACCGGGAAATTGCTGCCTCCCACAAAAATTGAAATTACTTCAAAAACACAAAACGGACATCATCCAGAACTACAGGAAGGCTGGCTGAGTGTAAATTCTACAACTAGAAGGAAAGAAAAGCACACTGAGAGCCAGAGGAGCTGCGGAAGTAAAGTGCAGAGGTAGGGGGCTCGCGCGCACGGAAAGGGGCTGGCACCTGAGGACGGATCTGTCTTTTTGAATCCGGAGGGAGTCACAAGCTCCCGACGGCTCTGACCTCCGGTTCCGGGCAGTCTCTGGGGACCCAGGACTCATACAGGGAGAAATTGGACTGTCTGGCAGCAGGCAATCTTGAGGGCAGCTTTCCCTCAGAGGTGCTTGCAGCCATTACCGGGACACTGAGACTCACAACTCCTTAGGGTAGGGCTGAGGAACTGCCATAGCTGCTTGCTCTGCCCTTTGATTCCTTGAGACTCCGCCCCACCCAGGCTGCAGCAGAGGCTTTTGCATATGAATGCCCCAGCCATTTGCAACCTGTAATTACCTAACTGCAGCCCGGCCAGACAGATCCAGAACTTCCAAGAGAAGTCCCAAGGCCCCACAGCAGTTTGCATGGCTTC